CCTACTATTGGGAGCTTCCGAAACTAGGGGACCCTAATATGATACCCTGAATAGTAGGATCCCTATTATAAGGACTACCCCTAATTTTCGGAAACTCCTATTGGGCCTCAAGGCTTCGAGCTTGGCTTTGGGCTTCATTCTCCCCCCCCCCGACAGCCCCCTGTGTTCTTGCACAAGTAGGGCTGTTTGGCTCCTTTTCCTAAGGCCTTCGTCTTCGTGTTCCCCTAAACCATAAACCCTAAACCCTAAACCATAAACCCTAAACCCTAAACCATAATAAACCTCCACTTTCCGGGGCAAGCTCCACACTCTGCGCCTTGTGAGGCTGCGCCGGAGGTCTGGCACGGACTTGGCAGAAAGGAGCCGCGCTGTCTTTGGAGACTCGATTGGCTGGCCTGGGCAACTTTAGGGCTTGGGGGTTTAGGGTTTGGGGTTTAGGCCTTGGTGTACTTAGGGGTTTAGGGTTTTGGGTTTATGGTTTTGGGTTTTGGGCTTAGTGTACTTAGGGGTACAAGGTTTAGGGTTTAGATTTCTGTATTTAGAAGGATACAAGAACGATATGCTGGGTAGTTCTCTAAGTTAGGGTCCCTTTTAGGGTCCTTTTAAGGGTGCCGTCCTATCTTGGGGGCCCTGAAAAGTGAAAAGGGGCCCTAACTTAGACAGCTGCCCATGTAATTCTAGTTCAAACTTCTCATCTAGCTGTCATGTAGTGTAAATGACAAATAGATAGATGTTAAAGAAAAGCTGGAGGCTTAGGGGTTTGGGGTTGCATGCTTCGGCCGTCGTTTCTTAGGGGTATTGAGAGAGTTGTGCGGTGTGTCTTTGATCTTGGAATGGGGCTGTGGCAGGCTTGTAAATGCTCTTGTTTAGTTTGGCTTGTAGGCTTTGGTTCCGGTTCTTCCCGAACACCGGAATGCACTGGACTCTGACCCTGAACCCTGAACCTTAAAGGAAGGGAAGGCTCTGCACTCCAGCTCTCGAGCTTCTTGAGATTGGAACCCCCAACACCTTGGGTTCAAGGTTTAGGGTTCGCCTGCTGAGGGGCTAAGCTTAGGAAAGGATTATATACCCTTATAAGCCTATATGAAAGTTTCCGAAATTGGGAACCCTATTTTGGTGTCCTTATAATAAGGATCCTACTATTTAGGGTACTATATTGGGGTCCCCTATTTTCGGAGACTGCCATATGTACTAGCTCTTCAATCGCAGTGAAGAGGTGACTGGCTTCCAGCCACGGCACGGCGGATCTTTTGCAACTCGCGCTGCTCAACCCTGGCTTGGGGCATCTTTGGCTCCCGGTTTGTTGTTGCAAGTTTAGGGGCTTTCGGGGGCTTAGGGGCTTTAGAGGCTTTAGGGGTCTAGGGGCTTTAAGGGTCTGTGCTTAGACCTGGGATGCGTTGAGAAGGCGGGCTCGGTAAGATCAAGATCCATGCTTACGGGCTTCAAAGCTACACCAAGCAAGACCCAAACAAGCTGAATGGCAGCAGGTGATTCGCGCTGAAGAGCAGAAAGATGGGACATACCGCAGTAGGATGGTCCATCACGAAAGCCCAGAACGAAAGCACCCGAATCCTCAAACCCTAAACCGCATCTATAAACCAAAAACGCCTGACCTCCCCAAAACGCAGCTTATAGACCTTAATCTGCCAACAAAGCAATCCCGTCTCAAAAAGGCCGACACCCCTCGTACCGCAATTATGGGGGCTTCAATGATTAGCCTGGGGTTTGTGGGTACACCGGATATGTATACAGGATGATAATGTGACTTTGCTATGTAGGGATAAACACCATGTATCTTCGTTGAGCTAAAGCCAACAGACACCTATAAAGCGACACCGTGGAAAAACAAGACTATAACCCCTATAGAAGCCCTATGCCAGTCCTATCTGCAAAGTTCACCGAAAATCCGTCCTCTCCGGGGAGAACCAATCGTTGAGCTGCGATAGCTTGGCCTCGTGAGTCGGTGCACACCAAGTAGTCGGGTGTTGACACGGTTCTTATATGGGAGTTTCCGAAAATAGCGGACCCTAATATAGTACCCTAAATGGTAGGATGCCTATTATAAGGACCCCAAAATAAGGTACCCTAATTGTCGGAAACTCCCATATAGGGTTCCATGATATGCTTTATGATGATGCGGTTCCTTCTCAGTCTACAGTAGTGGTTCAATAGTCAGATTCTGCAATTCTATAGAATAGGATTTCAGCGCTCGTTGGGGACTCAGCAGCTGGGTCTCAGGATTCTAGAAGACTTCTTCTAGGTTGCTTCGGGAAGTATAGGACTTCTCTGACGGCTCCACTCCCACACAAAGAGTCGGGAGCTGTAGACTGTAGGCTTCGGTTTGGGATATGGGTGGTTGTCAAAATTATGGTCCCTTTTTGGGGAACCCTAAATATTATGATTATATAGGTGCCGCACTATAATAAGGATCCAACAAGGGATCACATTTTTGACAACCATCCATATGAGGCTTAGGATCTGGGATTGGGAAATTTTCGAGTTGGCTTAGGACCTGGGGTTTAAGGGCCGCAATCTCTGATTACCTTCTGCTCCTCATCATCGCAGACCGTTTAACCTTTACGTAGAATTTGATGCTATGACTTACGAGCAACCTTCAACTACTTCCTTCCAGGTGCTTAATGCAAGACGCTCCATAGATAGGCAGATTCTGCACAATCGCTTCTGCCATCCTATGAACCCAAGCCCACGCTTCAAAACAAAAGTCTTAGAAGCCCTCGTATATGAACTTAGACGTAGTAGCTGGAACCTGAACCCCTATGCCAACCCTAACCCCGACCCGTAGACCCTAGACCCGAACCCTAACAACAGTTCAAGCCATTGCGATCTCGCGGCCGAGGTATCTATGGACGTGTGCTGTCGCAGAAGCCTCGGAAACGGAAACGTGCAAGAGGTGCACTTCAGCAGTGTGGCAAGCCTTCATGCGCTTAATATACAGGCGTTCAGAACTAGAGTGGGGTTAGGGGCTTTGCACCTTGGGATGTGGGGTACTGTTTAAGATTTTACGGCTCCAGCATGTAAGGGTGTAGGTTTGGGGACTGAGGAGGGTTCGAGGCCTAGATTTTCGGGTAGAGGATGTGGCTGTGGGTTTATGAGTACGCCGAAGGGCTGGTGCTTGCAAATATATGGGGCCTTACTACTCAGAATAGAGTCTTGGTGGTTTCTAGAATAATCGGGACTATAAGCGCATCACAAGCCAAAATTTCAATGCAATCTTAGGTCGTCATGCCTGTGTAACGGTGTGAAAAGACTGGCATATGACGATGATCATGATCGCCTTCAAATTAACAACGCCACCATGCTCTTCGTCGGGCTCTTCACCGCCATGCTGCTGCTCTTTCTCATGAACACTACCCCTATCACTGATCCAAACGCTCCTCTTACGCATCCGTCAGGATCCATCCCATCCGCCACAATCACATCACCATTTTCACAATGATGATCAAACACCATAATCTATAATCCATCAAGATCATTGTGACCATCTTCTTCATCAGCATCACCATTGGTCACGATTTCTGCTTTGTCACGATCACCACCAGCATCAGTAACATCATCATGTCCATGATCATCATCACCATCGTCATCATCTTCTTCCAACGCAGCCAGAATGTTCCCGGTCTAGCGGGTGCTGTTACAAGATGCATTGCATCTCGGCCGCTGTGGTTAAACCCGCGGCAAGCACGAATGCCAATGAAGAGCGCGCACTCGCTTGAGTGAGATCCGCTCCCTAACCTCAGTTAGTAACACAAAAGAGCTGTTAAAAGACTTGTTGCAGACTTGTCGATCGGAATGTACAGGGTTGATCGTGCTGCTTGTTTGTATCGCGTCCTACCGCAGCTCAAGAGGAGTAGAGAATGAGGCTCAGCTAATCGTCCAGTGTGTCCAATGCCACCGGCAACTGCAGGGTCACCTTATTCCTGCCCAAACTGGCAATGCCGACGGGGAGACGAAGCAGAAGGTGACTCATTCGTCGCTCCAGCTTGTCCATTCTCTCCTGAAGCACATCGTGATCCCGCACCAGTTGGCGCATCCAGACTTCCAGAAGGTACAGCTGACTCGAGAGCCATCGTTCCCTCTCTGTGCTGGCCGTCGGGCCATAGGGCTCTGGTTCCTCCATGATGAGTGCTAGCTGTAGCTACATTTGAGAAGCTACGGCTGGGGTGATAGGCACGGGGAGGTTGGCACAGAACGAGAACATACATGGTAGTGGAGGTTTCAGCAATGTCTCGCATCGTTGCTTTTCTCGGCTCTTTGTCATCATCGAGCACCAGATTATCACTGCTGCCTGAGCCGCCTCTCAGCAACACCGTATAGTGTCCTGCACGAAATGTCTCACCATGATGCCTGATGATCGTATGCACACGCAGAGAGCACCAATCGACTACCTGTGTGGCAGCGTCCACAAAGTACGGCATGTTCAGCATGCCTGGCACTATGTAGGGATTATGGGTCTTGGCTCCCGTGACTGCATGAAATCTAGGCAGTTGGATGCACAACCAAGGGGGGATGGCCGTGAGGGCACAAAGATCATCCTGTTGATGCCATCGTGCTATAAGCTCCTGGATATCCGCCGTGGGGACGGGCGGGAGTGAAAGGGTGATGCATTGGTTTTGGGGGATTATTTTGAGTGATGCTGATGCCAACGCCATCCTCGTTCATGAGGCGGCCCTGCCACGTTTCCCCCGTGGAACGAACCACCCTCGGGATGAGAAAATCATGAAACTCAGCAAGGTCCTGTTGCTGCCGAGCTCGCGGCCACCCCATCATGAAGAATCCCAAAGCGCGCCTTGCGCGCACCCCGACACCCTGCAAACATCTGATAGTCTGATGAAGCAAATGCAGTTGTTGTGTGAAGTCAGCTGCCAGCCACAACGCGTACAACAGTGCATTAATGTAGCAAGCATTGCCATCGTTGCACAGTGTGAAGGGTGGGACTACAACCCTAACTGAAGGGGAACGGCCTGCGTCATCCGCCATGCCTAGCGCCCGTACGCCAGGCGAGCCACCTGCTGTGCCATCTGCGACCGCTTCATCGTGATCCTTTTCATGGACACTCCCACCAGCTGCAGAGCCGAGACCCCGATGAGGTTCGCGAACGTCTCGTGCACTTTGGTTGCGAGGTCGCCCCGGAGACTCACTGAGAGAAAGAAAGCAGCAGTCGTCGCCTGTTCTTCCTGCAATGCCTGGAGGCGCTTCGTGGAGTGGAACTTGTGAATCACATCGCCCTTCAGGTTGATGAGCAGGAAGTCGAGGTTCGACAGGAGGTCCTGCTGGGTCATCACTCCATCCTCCGGGTGCTGAACCAACTTTTTGGCCTGATGGCACCAGCGCTGCCTGGTCCAATGTTTGTCCGTATTCATCCATCCCGCTGCCTGTAGCTTGGAGACGCCCTCGGCATCCGCCGTCATGTGAGCCACCCGATCCCGAAGTTGCTGGATGAGGCAAGCTAGCAGCAATGTCCGAATGGGGGAAGTGGTCTGGATCGTGCCCTCCTCCTGTTGTTTGCTCCATTCGGTAGCCACCCGGTACAAACCCGGTAGGATGCTGATCTCGTCCTCGCGGAAGTAAAGCATCAGGGCCTTGTCCATGCGAAGCTCGGCGATGATTTCCTCCTGTCGCATGATCATCTTGGCCAGGAGCTGCACCGGTTCGCTTGGATGTTGTTCCTGGGCGTACTGAGAAAAAGCTGCGTATGGTCGCCTTTGGCCGCGGCGTTGCTGCGGATCCGGACGATGCCTCTTGTTGGTGGGCTCGGATTTCGCCGATTGAGCGCTCTGAGCACCTTGAGCTCCCTGTGAGCCCTGCGAACCCTGTACCCCCACCATCGGGAGGCAGTGCCGGAAGATCTCCGCCTCCGGATTCAAGCTGGGTCCCGTCATCCGGTACCTCGACAGCAACCAAGGCAGGCTGCGAACCCGAGGTTTGTTGCTGTTGCTGATGCTCACAGTAGACTGCTGCTAGGCAAAGCTGGTACAGGACCGGGCATTGGTCCACATGTCGGCCTGGGCTCCACACTTTGCAGAGACACCAAGGGCAGCCGCTGTTGGTGACAAGCTGGCTCTTGAAGGGCCGGCAACGTTGGACTACAGTATCCTGAAGATTACCGACAACCTCCGGGTGTATTCTCCGAATATGCTGCTTGATGTGTTTGGTGTCTGCGATAAACATATGGCAAATGACACAGTGTTTGGTGAGCTCGGAGCGGAGCACTGGATGAGCGAGCAACGTGTCCCACTGCCGCTATGCTTTCAAGAAGAATGGGCGCCGAACGAGCGGTGTATTTTGTGGCTCCGCCTCTGCAACGGTAGGAGGTTTCTCCTGCTCTGGTGGAGACGGCTTCACTTCAACCTCAGCATTGGGGTGGAGTACGAAGCTAGATCCACCGAGTCGCTCGCATGTGCCTCCTTCGATATGATGTCGAAGGTTTTGCCACTTTCGGAACTGCCGCCCGCACAGCCTGCAATGTGGCAGGCCTCCCACCGAGTGTTGAGCCGGATCAAACACGGTGGCCTGGCCAACCGTGGTTTTGGGCTTCTCAGGGTGGTGGAGGCCATAGTGAATCCTAAGTGCATGCTGCGTGTGTGCCACATAAGCACAGTGCTCACAGGGCCACGACTCAGTGTGCTCAGGGCTGGAGCGCGAAGCTTCACGCGAATCGCGGGCCGACAGCATGTGCCGGAGTCGCTGCTCCTCTCGCCGAACGTGAGCAAGAAGGCTCGGTTCAGTGGTGATGTCCGGAGCTGATCGTTCCTTGGCCTCCAGCTTGCCCCGGAAGGAAGACAATGCCTGCAGGATGCGCTGTCCAGGGGGATCAAGACTTGCTCTGGTCCATATTTCGGCATTAGCAGTCTTCGTGAGATGTGCCGGTAGCCGCAGGGTGGCCCGCAAATGTTTGAGGGTCCGAGTCTCAAGCTTTCGAAGGCCCGGCTCAGTAAGCCCTACCGCAGGCAGGGAGTACATGAGACTGGTATTCACACAAGCATCCCAAAGTCTGATGCGATGGTGTGCCGTCACGACGTGGCGGCCGGTGAGGGTGCGCTGTATGGCATGATATTTGTGCTGACCCCTTTGGATGCGATGGCTCAGGTTGGCCTCCTGTGGACTATGGTACGAGACCCTAGATCCAAGATAACCGTGCTCCATTTTGATTGGTATGAGGCGTTCAACCCCTGCAATCGTGAGGCTAAGGTGTGGCTCGCCATTCTTCAGTCGTGTGATGTCATAAAGAGCCTGCTTCGCCTGTTTCCCCACGAACTTAAGCAGGATTGCAGTTTTGCTGTAGTTTATCTGCATCTTGAAGCTTTCAAGGGTACTGAGGAGTATGGTGAGCTCCCGCAGTGCCCGCTTGAGATCCTCCAAAGAATACAGCAACCAGCTAGCCCAGCAATCATCAGCGAAGAGAGTAAGGATGTTTTCTACCCAGCCCTCGGGAAGCTGTTTGTCGAGGGAATCCATTAAAGCTAAGGTGTACCAAATCCAAAGGCACGGGGCCACTTTACATCCCTGTTTTAGGCCGTTGGTGGGCACAAAGTTTGAGCGACAGCTGCCCGCCTGATACAGGAATCGCGAGCCATGGTGCAGGCGATGGGCAACTTCAATGACAGCCGTCGGGACCTGGTAATCCCGCAATGCTTGGAAAAGCTTCGGCCGATCAGTGAGATCAAAGGCACGACTTAGGTCGAGTGACAGGCTGAGGGCACCTGTGAAGGGCCTTGGCTTCTGTCCTCGGTACACCCCAAACCGCGTGACACGGCTACTTCGAAACAGCTCCACGGCTTCCTTGACATGCTTGTGTATGCGGAACAATGCATCCATAGTTCCCCGGTTGGGAAGATATGCGTATTGAGGCCTGTTTCGCAGCAGCGGAAGTTGCCACTCCATCATACGGAGCTTCAAGATGCCGGCTAGGGCCTTCGAAGTTGGAGCCATGAGTCCAATTGGCCTCAAATTGGCCAGGATATGGGCAGGTTTATTTGGTTTTGGTAACATCGCCATAGTGGCATCGGTGAGGTCGCCACACAAAAGGCCAGTGCAGCCCTTCTTGAAGTGATGTCGGAAAGCCTCTCCGAAGACAGGACCTAAAATACCCGAACACACTTTCCAAATGGCTGCTGGAGCAATGTGTGATGGAACCGCCTTACCCGCCTTGAGGGCTGCGAACTGTGCAGTTACCTCTGCATCGCTGGGCTGTAGTTCCTGAGTCATGGGCCCAGAGAGGGGCAGATCCGGAAACAGAGCATAGGTGGCTCGGCCTTGGTCCGCCAAAGCCTTTGCTTCCTCCGCCTTGGAGAGCAGTTTGCCGTCATCATTTCTAAGGCGCGAGAAAAGCTTACGATGCGATGGAGTGAGGGAACGAACTATGCCATGCAAAGTTCTTTGGTCGCCTGCTTGGGCAGCCTCCTCCGCAACCCGGAGCTTTTCCTGGAAGGCAGCTTGCTTGATTTGTCGGCTTTGCTCTCTGAGGGCCCTTGAGGCCTGCTCGAAGAGAGTGGTGCGCCGCCACTGCTGCAGGATACGACCTACCGTGGCTATGCGTGCTCGCTTCATGTCAGCATACAGGCTCCAGACATGCCGAGCAGAAGCTCGGTACCCGGCATTGGCACTGATGCGGACGTCAGGCGCCCGCTTGGCAGGGAAGGCCTGCTTCACAGCTTGGCACAGGAGGCGGTTGATCCGCTCATGCAGTGTGTGCAAATCTGCAGGAGGAAGCTTCAGCACTTCAGCCTGCACTTGTTGTTGCATGACAGCAACCTGCTCGGAACCCGTATTTACAGCCTCTAGGAGGGCGGTCTTATCAAAAGCAATGGGCTGCTGGCCTTTGATGTCGGCCCGCCAATGCACTGGCACAATGGACAGAGCCGCCTGAATGGGCAGGTGGCCGCTTTGTCTCCACCCCGCAACCGGACAATCTGCCAAGGGCTTGGCAAGTTTGCTTGCTTGGCCGGCCGTAATCCTGCGGGTGATCACAAAGTCTATTTGTGTGTAGCCAGTGTGGCTGTAATGCGTGTGAGCCGGCCTGGCATGCCAGGTGTTCAAGGCACACAGGTTATGAGCCGTAAGCAGGCGATTGAGGTTGGCATCTCGCCCCGTAGCAGCATGTGGCATGCTGGCTGGTCCTGCTTCATACCTTGTTGGAGCTACTGTGGTGTTAAAGTCCCCCCCTATCAGAAGGAAATTCCTCGCTGGTAACACCGAGCAGGCATCGTGCAATTTCTGCCAAACCGAACCCCGGAGGTCCTGATTTTGCTGATACGAGAGGTGCCCGCGCCACACGTGCTGGTACACAGCAAGGACATCAATCTTAGACTGTGTGAGCTTGTGGGTGGCTCGCACATGCAACACCCTACCCCTGTGTATCTCATGCACAGCGGGGTCCTGAAAGTGCTGCTTGGACAGCAGGATCATGACTCCAGCATACCTATCGTAGGCTTCCGCCGGGTCGCTGGCACTATGGATGCACATCCACTGTCCCGAGATGAAGTCACAGCTGTGGGGCCAATGGGATTCTTGAAGGATAACCACCTGAAACTTATTGCAAGTGTCCAACCAAGACATGAGCTCTTGATAAACCGCCGAACTTAAGCCCCCAACATTCCAATTGAAGCAGTGCACATAGGGGAGTCTGGCCTTGTGTCGTCGCTGTGTCCCCCGCGTAGGCCTGGGCATCGTGGGGTTGGGAACATAATCTAGGGCTTTTAGAGCAGCAGCTGTGTGCCAACGACCTCGATAGTATGTGCCGCCCTTGTGGGCTGCTCGGAGTCGGGCTCTACGGTAGGCTCTTTTATCTGAGGTTGTAGGTGTGGGGCGGAAGCTTGGAGGCGCGCTCGGCACCAGTCCGCAATGCTTCCCCAGCTCGGTCGAGCCGGGTCCCGCCTCTACCGCGGCTGTAGAGGCAACCCTCGCACCAACCGCAACCCTAAACTGCCAGACTAAACTGAAAGTGATGAGGGCGCGGCATCCGGACTTGGGACCGGATCGGCTTGCAATCGTCATGGCACACCCTGGGACAGGTCGGCTTTGTCGTGTTTTGCGGTACGGAGCTTGCACCGGGGCCCTATTGCTAACTACCCCCAGGGAACCCCAAGGTCTAGGGAGAACCCAACCACTAAGCCTAGAGGAGCAAAGCCAGTTGCCTGGCAGCCGGCCGTGCTGTGGTGCTGTGGTGCCGTGGCATCGGCTCGCACATCCTGTGGGAGGGTGTTGGGGCCTAGGGGCAGCAGTGGGGGGTCTACCGGAATAGTGCTTAGGGTACTCGGTATGCTCGGGATGTCTAGGGCGAGTGGGGTGTCTTACGATACGCCCAAAACTCAGCCATGGGCCTAGAAGCTTGGCACGGAGATACAGCAGTCCTGAGCTCGCAGGGAGCGATCACGCCAGCACATCCATCTAGGCCTGCTGGTTGCAGACTTCCAAAGCAATGCGGACCTGTTCGACCCATCGCTTCCATGGTGCCAGTCGTAAGCTGTATCGAGCCGAATGGAGCGTGTCTCGCCAAGAGGCACCATTGAGGTTCCTCGTGAAAGCGCCTTGTCGCCCACCCAATTGCCGTTGGCTGAGAGCGGGGTTGTCCTCTTGCACCTGTACTGTAGTCGCCACGCCAGAGCCAGAGCCCGTTGTATTGCTCGTAGTGCTCCAGCTCCCAGGACCAGGTCATCGAGGTCCTCATGTGTGGGGTCCAGTGCCTCGTCGGCAGCTGCTGGATCCCATGCCCACCTCGGCTTTTCCGCGCCAGCCTCTTGCCACTTTTGTAGGAAGGGTCCACGTAAGACCCGTCTGCCCAGGTCTGCCACAGCCTGGAGTCCCATTTCACTGGTTTCTTCCCGCCTCTGTCTTTTCTCAAGACTGAGTAGCTCATCCACCAGCGATTCGGAGGACGGGCGGTGTGTCAGAGCTAGTGGCAGACTTGGAGTCTGCTTCATCACTCCCATCGCCACCGTCGAGGTGGGGCCCATGCGGTTGCCAGTGCACTGGCTGCGGAGGTGGAGGCCCTGCCGGTGCAGCATCAGACCCAGCAGCCACCCTAGCATCGCTATCATCATCCGTGTCCATGGCATGTGGCTCAAGGCACCCGTCCCGAACTCAAAGAGAAGCCCGCAACCAAACACAAGCCACGAAGAAAGTCACCCAGGGGCCCCGCGCTGTGAGCCGTGGTGCTTCATCGTCATCATCATCGTCATCACCACTACCATCGTCAAGAAACTCTGCATCGAAGTGGTTCTAACTTTACTGACGGCCCCGGCTTGTCACGCGCAGGGGACGTGCGGCTCTCCTGTCCAGGCTCCCCGTTCCACGGCTGCTCAACCACGATCGCAACATTGCCCCTGAAGACACCGGTACTGCATGACTCATGTGGCTCTCAAAGAACCCTACTCCACACCCTCTCACTCCCACCGAAATCTCCAGTAGCGAAGCAAGTGCTATGGAGACGCTTGGGGCCTTAGGAGGATTGATGACTTTTCAACATTTGGGAATTTTGGGTTTAGCGGCGTGAGGTTCTGGTGGCTGTGCGGCTTACATCGGATGCACCGAACTGATCAGGAAGACAAATTCCCAAAGCTGATTGCCTTCAGCATGGGCGCATCTGCCAGCGAGAATGCCTCTTCAGCAAAGCTGGACTGTCTTTAATGAATTAGGGCTGAGAGACTCACGTTCCAAGGCCTGTGCTGGGCGTCTAACCACAGAAACAAGATCCCCGAATTTATGCTCGGGTTGAATGATGTCTCTCGCATCGGAAGGTCAAGCGAGTCAACGGCACATTCGGCGTTGATGGAATCTGAACCCTACTGCGTCTACGAGTGCAAACGACGAGTTGTGGGGAGATGTGGTTCCAAGCCCTAAGCCCTACAACACTTCCAAACTCAAAAATTGCGGTTGAGGATCTGCGAGTCGGCTTAACATATCAGGTTTGTGGCTATTTTCGAAGCTGCATGTGTCCATCCATATAAGTATGAAGAGGAAACAGTACATATGTGTGTATATATACACACACATACACACAGACTGATTAGGACCATAAAGGAATACACAAAATTCTGCTTCTGGAAACACTCAGGACCGAGCCCAGAAGTAGAAACAAAAAAGTGGGGGTTAAGGGCTTCAAGCTCAAGTGTAAAGCTTGCAGGTTTTGGGCTGTCGACAAACTGCCCCTCCTCAAAACTAGGATGTGTTATCGCTCCTTCCCTAATTCCTGTTGGCGGCCTTCGCAGTCTGCCTGTAGACTAGGTTACATGCCGGTGATTTGCTGCTTATACTGCTAAGAAACATGATAGAATATGCCCACAACTCCTGAACCCTACGCCCTAAATCCCTGAACAACAAACCTGAACCCGAAACCCCAAACCCTTTTTGATGGTGTTTTGAAAAAAGAGGCGGCCTTCTCTGCGGGCGCCGTTGGCCGAGGAAGCTTCGCTCGCTCCGCACGGCGGCGTCGCAAGACAGCATCGGGCCCTTGGCTCTTATTAGAGGACATTAAAGTAGATTACAGTGCATTACAGTATATGAAAGTACATTATGAAATGTATAGGGCCCTCCGCTTTGCTAAGTCTTCTATTTATGGTATGTTCGAAGAAATCATATTGCTTTTACGGTATATGAGGCAATTCGAGTCTATCATGCCATGGTAATAAAGCTTGCTACATCATCTTAGATTCAATGTTACATCTTTGTATGGACCCCTCTTGGGAGGGTCCTTATCGTGAGACTACGGTATGCTACTGTCAAGGGTCTGTCTTACACTACAAAGTGGATCCTGGGACTTGGTTGTAGGTATGGTACTGTAGCTATCTACTTACAATCCCAATGAAGGTACTTGTTTATGCTCAGTCCGCGGATCCAGTGATCATTTGCTCTTGAGGGCTCAGAGCTCATGGTTCTGAGAGTTCAGCTCCAACCGATTCGGGCTGAGAATTTTGGCTGTTGGGTATCGGGGTCTTGGTGTGCTGGCCATTTGGGATTTGAGCTGTTGGGCCTTTGCTGCTCTTTGGGGTTTGGTAGAAACAAAGTTAGCTCGAGCTGACGAGTTCAGGGTTCGCGGCGAGGAGAGAGGTTACAGTGGAGTTGCAGATGCTGGTAAACCCTGAAAACCGAAATCCCTACGTCAATCGGTCCGAAAAACGAGAACACCTTTTGGAGCAACCCTCGAAAAATTCGGAACAGCCCCAACAGCTGACCGTCTCTAAGTTGAACTCCGATTGTGGGAGGGGTGCCCTTGGTTCAAGCTTGGGTTTAGGACGTTTAGGAAATTAGGGTTTGGGTTCCCTGGCTCCGTAGCCCCAAAGCGGAAGCGAAGCTCCGTGCACTGAGACAACATGCTGCAGCCCAAGCTGTACACCCAAGCGACATCTTACCCTCAGAATCTTATCCGAACATAGAGGCCTTACAGGGGTATAAGGCATAATGAACATCATCAGGAACCCTGAAGAACTAATTATGCAAGAGGCTTCCCTTTTCCTGAGGACCCGGACCCATCTCGCCATGCAAGTCCTTGCAGCGAAAGCAAGGTGTGAGGGGTTTAGGGTTCAGGGGAGGGCTTTGGGTGCTTAGGTCGGGTTTTCAAGATTAGTTTACGCCTCAAGCGTAGGGCCAACGATCAGAAGCTCAAGTTTCGGATTCTCAAAGAGCTGGCATTCTTAGCGGGGCGAATCCTGAGTCCGAAAACACGAACTCTGACCAAATCCCAGAACCCCGACGAGTCAAGATCGCAGCTTTCGACCATGGGCTCTGAGCGAAGACAGGAGTGGGAGAACTCTGCCAAATTCAGGGCGTAAAAATGGGCTCAGTGTTTAGGGGTTAGGGTATAAGCTACATACCAACCCTTAACCCTGCGGTCCCCAGAACCGAAGTTAAGTAAGTAGAGTCCCGCCAGTGTCCTTAAGCCCTGTGGCTACCATTGCCAGCGGGTCGAAGGGGAGACCACGCGGGTTTACCTGCAAGGCTTGCGAAGATCTGGGGGCTTCGGGTGGGTTTCGGGCTTTGGGACGGCCTAAGCTTAGTGATTGTGGTGTTCACGAGTTTATGGCTTTAGGGGCTAGCTTCAATCGTTTTGCAGTGATGCCACAAATACCATGCATCTGGGGACGTCCTGACGTGGGAAGAATGCACGTAAGAAATCGTAAGCCACGACCTGCTTCTCATCTTGCTCTTGGTGCATTTCTGAATACTATACGAATATAATAATAATAATATATATATATATATATATATATATATATATATATATATATTATAATAGTCATATTAATACTATCAATAATAGTAATAAGATTATTAGAAACCAGGCCACAGAACCCTACATCCCCAACCCCTCAACCCAAAACCCTGCGCCGTACCCCCTGAAGCCCACACTGGCTGCTCTCCACTGAACAATCAGCGTCGACTCTCATTGCCTCAAACGCTGCTCCCGGTCATGAGAGCAATAATGCGAACAACGGCAATAAACCCTAAACCCTGAATGCTAAATCGTCACAATGCTCAATAGCAATGGACATAATAACAAGTTGGAGTAATCATGACAACGGGAAGGCATGACAATAAAGACAGACGACAAATGACCCAGAACAGCAATAACACTGACAACTGTGAACGGTGGTTTCCAAGAAACCCTCCAAAACATGCACAGAAGAAACAGAGCCAAACCACCGGCAATATATACATACCTTGCTAACGCCAATTTCCAACTGTCCGAAGGCCTCTGGTGCATCTTCGACGCCCATGAGGATGTTCACATAGTCTCCACGTGCATACTTCCTCAGCAAAGCTTTAGGGTTTCCAGCTTCAAGGAAGGGGTTAGGGATCAGAATTTAAGCTTGGATCTCTGACAGTGAACCTACGAAGCAGACTACACACTCCAAGAACTGACAATGTAGGGGCCTCGATAATTAGAACAGCTTGCGCGGGAGGGGAAGGGGGAGGGGGGGTACACTCGACAATACACATCATGAGGCACCCAAAGGAATGATGTTGGTTGTTATGGTGCCTTGATCCTCAATTGCGACAGCGAAGCTGCATCAATTCCGGCATAGAGCTTGTGCATCAAGAGTGTTGAAAGAACCCTCCACCCTAAAATCCAAAGCCTTTTATTGATGAAACACCCAAAGAAGAACCCTCCTTAAGACCCCCGAGTCGCAAAAACCGGGGACCCATTGCAGCCCGAGTGGCTTTTGGGAGCCGCCCATGCGCCCCTTTGCAGTCGGTCGAGCCTCTCTTGGGGCTTAAGGCTCGGGGTGTAGTGTTACAGGGAACTCCAGAAAGTGGGAATATGGTTTCATGGTAGGATACCCTATAATTTACCATAGAAGGGTTAGGATAATCATATTCCAACTTTCTGGCTTTCACCTTAAGGGGGTTCAGGGTTTCGGGATTCCAGGTTTTTGGGGGTTTCCGGATTCAAGGGCACCCTAAACACTAAACCCCAAACCGTGGTGCAGGAACTCAGGGTTTGTGGCTCATCGGTTCTATAGGGGTTCAGTGCATCGTTTAGGCTTTCGGGTCTGCCGCTGGTGAGACTCCGGGTTGAAGAGATGATGCTGAAGATGATGATGACGATGACTACACCTGTAGCCATGACGACGGTGACGAGCAGTAGCCTTTGTAGGAGGACTACTCAAAACATAAATGGGGAGGGGCACAGAGACCTGAAGCCTGAACCCAAGACCCTGAACCCAAAGCAGGCCTGTGTCGACATGGCCACTGCCTCAGTGTTGCGGAGCGCTTGGAGTCTAAGCCTACACCCTTAACAGCTCAACCAAAAAACATCCTAACTCCTAAACCCGAATACCGGTTGATCATGGCTTGCAGTCACTTGTAGTCGTTTCGGATCCTGGCTGCATGACGTTTGGGAGGGTTGCCATCGCCTCCCTAGTTAACTACTAAACTGAGCTCCTCTTAAGGAACTTGGTATACCTCATCGTATAGGGATATGACTTAGCCTACAGGAACCTACTGCTTTAGAATAGAACTTAGCGTACGTTATCGTATCGGATTATGACTTAGCCTCACGAACCTGCTGCTTTAGAATAGCCTTCCAGGTTATACGCCTCTAGTGACTCTAGTGGTT